AAATTAACATCATCAGAGGTAGTGGATAACATATTTCATTCGTATCACAAGACAAACTCAAGCTGCTAAGAAAAAAATCAGATAAAATTTTTAGAAATTAAAAGTATGATTGTGGAAATAATTAAGTCAATGTCAGGGCCAAATAATAGAATAGTAATAGCTAAAGACTGAACTGTGATCAAAAAGATAAAATCAAGAAAATATCTTAGAGAATAGAACAAATAATTTATGTATGGAATGTAAGAGAAAAATTAAGAGATATGAAGGGTAGTTCCACAAGATCTGAGATCTAATAAGAGTCACAAAAGGAAAGACCATGAAAGATTAAATAATTTTAAAAACAATACAAAAACTTTTCCTGAGATGAGACTTCACATTGAAAGGCTCAAAGAGTTCCAACCATAGAAAGTAAAATATGACACACCCCTAGAAACAAGAAAAGACATCGCACTCTAACACCTATTCCTGATAAAAATTTTCAATAAAATAAGAATAAAAAGAAAATTACTAAACATAACAAAGAGCATCTATACAAAACCAACAGCCAACGTCATTCTCAATGGAGGGAGGCTGAAAGCATTCCCTCTGAGAACAGGAACAGGATAAGGGCACCCTTTATCACCACTCCTATTTAACATTGTGCTGGAGGTCCTAGCTAGAGCAATAACGCAAGAAAAAGAAATAAAAAGCATCCAAATTGGAAAGGAAAAAGTAAAAGTATCTCCACTTGCAGATGATATGATACTGTACATAGTGAACTCCAAAGATTCCACAAGAAAACTACTGTAACTAATAGAAAGATTTAGCACAGTAGCAAGATAGAAAATCAGCATACAAAAATCAGTTGGATTCCTATACACCAACAAAGAAAACTTCAAAAAGGAAATCTGGAAAACAATACTATTTAGAATAGCCCCTAAAAAGATAAAATACTAGAGAATAAATCTAACTATGGATGTAAAAGACATGAAGGAAACTACAAAACACTATAGCAAGAAACCAAAAAAGACCTAGGTAAATGGAAAAACATACCATGTTCATGGATAGGAAGACTCAACATTGTGAAAATGTCAATTCTACCCAAAGTGATCTACAGATATAATGCAATCCCGATCCAAATACCAACAGCATTCTTTAAAAAGATAGCAAAACTAATTATCAACTTTATATGGAAAGGAAAGAGGTCCCAGATAAGCAAAGCATTATTGAAGAAAAATAACAAGGTAGGAGGCCTCATACTACTGGATCTCAGAACCTACTATACAGCCATGGTGGTCAAAACAGCCTGGTACTGGTACGACAGACACATAGACCAATGGAACAGAATTGAGAATCCAGACATAAATTCATTCACCTATGGTCAGCTGATCTTTGACAAAGGACTAAATCAAAACAAAAAAAAAACCTGTTGACTTCCAGTCAATTCTGACTCATAGTGGTCCTATAGGACAGAATAGAAGTGCCCTAGAGGGTTTCCAAGGAGTAGTTGGTGGATTGGAACTGCCAACCTTTTGGTTAGCAGCTGTAGCTCTTAACCACTTTGCCACCAGGGCTCCTGACAAAGGACTAAGATCCATTAAATGGTAGTGGCAAAACTGGATGCTCATTTTTAAAAAAAGGAAACAAGACTCATAACTCACACCATACACAAAAACTAACTCAAAATGGCTCAAAGACCTAAATATAAAACCTAAAACGATAATGATCATGGAAAAAAAAATAGGGACAATGCTAGGGTCCCTAATACATGGCATAAATACAATACAAACCATAACTAACAATGCACAAACATCAGAAGATAAACGAGATAACTGGGAGCTCCTAAAAATTAAACACTTACGCTTATCAAAAGACTTCAACAGAAGAGTAAAAAGACAACATAGAGACTGGAAAAAAAAAATTGGCTATGACATATTTGACAAGGGTCTAAACTCTAAAATCTATAAAATACTTCAATACCTCAACAATAAAAAGACCAATAATCCAATTAAAAAATGGACAAAAGATATGCAGACACTTCACCAAAGAAGACATTCAGGTGGCTAACAGACACATGAGGAAATGCTTCAGACCATTAGCCACTGGAGAAATGCAAATGAAAACTACAATGAGATACCATCTCACCCAGACATTACCGGCACTAATTGAAAAAAAAAAAAAAAAAACAGAAAATAATTAATGTTGGAGAGGTTGCAGGGAGATTGGAACTCTAATGCACTGCTGGTGGGAATGTAAAATGTTACTATCATGATGGAAAATGATATGGCACCTCCTTAAAAAGCTAGAAATAGAAATACCGTACATTCAGCAATCCCACTTCTAGGAATATATCCTAGAGAAATAAGAGCCGTCACACGAAAAGACATATGCACACCCATGTTCATTACAGCATTATTCACAATAGCAAAAAGATGGAAACAACGTAGTGCCCATCAACAGATGAACTGATAAATGAATTAAGGCACATATCCACAATTGAATACTACACAGTGATAAAGAACAAGGATGAATCCATGAAACCTCTCACAATATGAATGAATCTGGAGGGTATTATGTTGAGTGAAATAAGTCAATCACAAAAAGACAAATATTGTATGAAAGCACTATTACAAAAACCCAAGAAAAGGTTTACACACAGAAAAAAATAATTTTAATGGTTATGAGGGAGGGGACGGATGGGGAGGGGAAATCACTAACTAGACAGTAGACAAGTGTTAACTTTGGTGAAGTGAACGACAACACACAATATAGGGGAAGTCGGCACAACTTGACCAAGGCAAAGTCATAGAAGCTTTCTAGACACATCCAAACACCTTGAGGGAATGAGTTACTGGGGATGAGGGCTGGGGACCATGGTCTCGGGGGACATCTAGGTCAATTGGCATAACATAGGTCATAAAGAAAATGTTCTACATCCTACTTTGGTGAGTAGCATCTGGGGTCTTAAAAGCTTGCGATCAACCATCTAAGATACTTCTATTGGTCCTATCCCGTCCAGAGCAAAGGAGAATGAAGAAAACCAAAGACACAAAGAAAATATTAGTCTAAAGGACTCATGCACCACATGAGCCACACCCTTCACCAGCCTGAGCCCAGAAGAACTAGATGGTGCCTGGCTACCACCACCTACAGCCCTGACAGGGATCACAATAGAGAATCCCAGACAGAGTGGAAGAAAAATGTAGAACAAAATTCAAATTCACAAAAAAAAAAAAAAAGACCAGACTTACTGGTCTGACAGAGACTAGAGGAACCCTGAGACTATGGCACCTGGACATCCTTTTAACTCAGAACTGAAGTCACCCCTGAATTTCATCCTTCAGCCAAAGATTACACAGGTCTATAAAACAAATGGAGCCCTGGTGGTGCAGTGGTTAAGAGCTCGGCTGCTAACCAAAAGGTCGGC